CATTAGCAACATAACGGACATTGACAGCAGTGTCATTATTCCTGAAATATAGCAAACCTTATTTTGATATGATTTTTCAGCTACGGAGTTCTGTCGGATCTAACCTAGCCTGAATTTGCTTTCTCGCCTCCCCGTTGCATTGATGGGAGCATGGAATCCAATGACGGCTACCAGTGAAACCTACAACAGAAAGTATCCAAAACAGGAACCTCTGTCATTGTCACAATTGATATCGCTCTAATCAGTAAGCGATAAGAGGGACGGGTTGAGCGCACCCGCGCGTTTCCACCACTGGTTGCTTTCTTCCAAAATACATCACTCATGGATCACTACTGGTTGAGCAAGGCAGCCGGAGGCGGGCTCATTCCGCCCCTCCAGACACGGCTCTTCCGTCAGATTGCAACTTCATTAACTATAACTCACCAATGTAGTGGGAAAGACCAAATTGAAAACATAGTAGAAGCTCTGTCGTTTGAGACTCAGTCTCATTGATACCATAGCTACGCTCTCGTTGGAGTTCTCCTGCATTCGAGTGGTACCATTGCGTAGTCGCGCGTCCATCAGCAACCACTCCTGGAAGTTCGGCTCTAGTTACAAGTTCTGGATCAGTTAAAGATGAACTGCACCCTCACCTTCGGATCGTAATCTCTGCCATATGTGGGAAGCGGCTGCATTAGCGTACCATCTTCTCCGATCAAAAGTGCACAGGAACCGGGCTGGAAGGTAGCGGTACCCGAATGCCGTCTAGGGCTGCATACATGCCTTGTGGCAGCGTCCAACCAGCCTAACGATCTGAGCGCCCGGCAGCGTGAGCGGCTAAGAAAGTATATATATCAATCTCGCGTCTGAAAGCGTGTGCAAGCGTCTGCCGGCGTCCACCAGCGTCTGCCAGCGTCGTGAAGGCTAGGAAAGTATAGGTATCGAACTAGCGTCTGCCAGCGTCTACCAGCGCGTACCAGCGGCCACCAGCGTTCACTAGCGACCGGCAGTGGAGAGTATGGGGAAGTAGGACGGTAGCAAACAGCTGTACTAGGCGTTGTGAAATTGCGGCTTCTACAACCGCGCGTACAACTACACTACATCATACATTGAATTGCATAATTCACTGCTTTAGCAGTTGTGCAGTGCACACGCCGCAATCTCATCACGCCTAATCCAGCTGTTTGCTACCCTCCTACTTCCCCATACACTCTACTCCCGGTCGTTGGTGAACGGTGATGGACGCTGGTAGACGCTAGCTCACGCTAAATCGATACTTATACTTCCCTAGCCCTCGCTGGCAGTCGCTGGTGGGCGCTGGCGGACGCTGGCAGACGCGAGTCGATTTGCATAATTTCCTAGCTTCTGACTGCTTCCGACGCTCGAACGCTTGTGCGGCGCTGCGGCAAGTATGGACGCGGCTAAATATTTCGCTGCGTTGCGCAGGCAGCTATGTGCCTGGCTATTATATCTCGTTTGTCTTCTATCACTTAGTCGTGATTTCGGCTGGGAAATTTGGTATAGACACAATGCTGGACGTTGGAGCGTGGGGAGAATGGAGACGGCATCGGACGCAACAACCTCTAGGTCTAATCTGGCGGCAATTGTGATACGGGGAACAGTAGACGTTAGCCTATTGTGGACCCTTCGCGTTGCCACATGTTAACCCCGACTCAGAGGTGAGTGCACAGCTTAGTTTTAATACTCCCGTACCTGATTGTCGTAGAAGTCACCGAGGTCGATCTCGTCTTTGTCGACCAGGAAGTTTACCACATCGCTTTGATATGTCCATGAACCACACTGAAATGTGTTGACGTTTTGATAGACGATTGTGACTGCCCCATTCGAAACAGAGGTAACAATCTCAGCTCCACCTCTAACCCTCTCCCGTTCTCTCTCCCTACATACTGCCAAAAATTGCTTACTTCCGAAAGCACGTAGCAGTAGCAATTGATTGTGCTATGTGTAGAGCGCATTGTCATGCTCTGCCAGCCGTCTGACATATTAAAATTAGCTGCTTCTGCTCTATTATTGCTTATTTTTATGTGTATTACGTCAGCCAAGGAGAACGTGTCTTCCGAAGAGTTTCTCACAAATTCCTCTTTCCCTGATGTTGAAGAAGTTGCCTTGCCCCTTATTGGGAGCTCCGACAATTCCACGGATATTAGAGGTCGGAATGCCATCAATAAAACCCGACGTTCAACCTATGCTGCACCTCCAACCGGAGCAAATGTGGACAGAATCGAGAACGTTGAAGTTGAACCAACACAATTCGTCATCACCACAACTAAACAAGGTAATTCAAGCGGAAAGGGTACACAAGTTTTTACTCAGTTCTTTCACTACAGGACCAGTGGAATCGTTGAAGATACACATGGAATTGGTCGACTTGCACGATAACCGGACTTTGCCGCCGATTGAACTTTTCGGACTTTTCCTCGTCGTTGCTAGAGGTTCGTCCAATTCTTGCAGCTTGTTATTAGAGCAGTTCGAGCGGAAGAGGAAGCACCGCTCCCCCACTGAGTCCCATGCATGAGTGGATTCATTCGGTTTTTCCAAACGACACGTTCACGCTAGAACAGCACTACGGTAGCTGGTATTTTTTGTGAATAAGAACCATCACAAGGGTAGGAGTGTGTCGAAAACAGATCGGTTACTGGTTTTCTGCGAAGTCAGCGTGGAGGGTGCGGTGGTGCCGTAAAAGCTAAAGTCAAATAGTCTAGTTCGATGCAGACGGGTTTGGCGCGGTGCCAAACCCGTTCTCCACCAGTTGTTGAAGCGAGCAAGTGACAAGACTGTATCATATCGTTCGTATCACTCGTTTTCTACCAGTTGTTGTCGCATACCCGCTTCAACAACTGGCAGAGAACGGGTTTGGCGCCGTGGCACACTCATACTGCCTGACACGCCCCTTCATCGCAGCGAACTAGAGTATATACCATTTTCACTTTAAATTCACCACTTTTCAAAGCAAATTCACCACTTTTCAAAGCAAATTCACCACTTTTCAAAGCAAATTCACCACTTTTCAAAGCAATACACACCTTTTCAAATCACAAATTCAGCTCACTCATTTCTTAGACCAAGCAGTTCGCGCCAACCAGATCACGCCAGACACCACCGCGAACCCTGCCCCGACGGTCACGTCTTACTTGTCAGCGCGGACATAGATTTTCAACATCATGACTGCTCGCTGTACCGTAAAGTTTTGCGAACTCTCAAATCTTCATACTTCAATCAATTTCTAGTTTCACAGCCCTCTTCGCACACACGAAGACTTGTGACGGCACTTCATGCACCAGGCAACCTTAAGCGCCCATCGCCCTTGCCACGCCCACTTGCTGTTTGCAATAATTAATGAATATCTTTTCAAAATTTCGCATTTTTGACTGCCTCCGTGAAGTCCCGCGCCAACTAATGAGAGGCTTCGCCCATTTCGGTAGGCCAGACCCCGCTCACCTTTTTCCAAAAATGGTGCAAATCGGCCCACAATATAGAGCTCTTGGCTTGCATGCTAGGGTCTCGTTCGCTCACTCGCGGAGCAAATAAGCAGAGTAAGTTTGTTCCTACGATGACTCACAATTACCTCTGAGTCCATTGGCTCATATTACTGACCGATTTGCCCCCACTTTTTGAAAACGGGTCGCGCTTTCTCCGAAGTGCGGAGCCTCTCATAGTTGAGCGGCGGGTTGGTTTCACGGCCGGGCAGTTCAAAATGCAAAGGTTTTGAAAACGATATGATAATTATGCGACAGCAGGTGTGCTCGTGCGGCGCGAAGACGGCGGAGCCTAAGTTTGTCGAGATGCGATGAATGGCTTATCTCGAGCTACCTTCTTTGCGATATGGACCGCTGGGATGTGAAATTAAAAATTGAAAAAGTTATGAAGATTTGAAGTTCGCAACAAACTTTAAAGAATGGGCGGAGTCAGTCATGTGTTGAAAATCTATGTCCGCGCTGACAAGTGGCGTCACCGCCGGGGCAGGGTTCGCGGTGGTGTCTGGTTGGTCTTGGTTTGGCGAAAACTTGTCCGTCTAATAAGAGTGTGTATTGTGAATTTGGGCTTGAACAAAAATGTTTGAATTTGTCTTTGAAAAGTGCCCGTGAATTTTAATCGCTTGCAGGGGGGTGTGTGGGGGGAAAGGGGGTTGGGTTTCCATTTGTGTGATCTCTTACAACATTTCTTCAACTGTTTAATGAGTTGCCTGATCTTTTGGACTCCGTTTCGAAATCGCTCTGCTGGTAAAATTTCGCTGACGGGTATTCTAAGGTGGGAGAGTACGAGGGACGTACTCACCCGTCCCCGCTCGGTAATCTGAGGAAGCCGTGTTGCGAAAATTTTGCACAGCGCGTGATGATGCCCTGTGCGAATGCATGTAAACCCAGTGTTCTTCGTCTAATTCAATTATTCGGCTGCTCGGATCTGCCTTCGTTAGCACAGAATTAAAAACGAAGTGCCGAGCAGCATGACTACTTTTTTCTTATTGAATCACCACTTTTTCTACTCGCATTCAGTTCAGAGTCCTAGTGGCAATTTGTATGAGAGTTTTCCTGCACGAGGACGAAAGGGCCAATGAAAAATTTACTATCTTTTCTCCCTGCGAAAATCTTCTGGTACAGATCGTATCTTTTCTCGGTGCTCTGGGAAATGTAGGTTGTTTGTGTCTCCTTTTGATTTTGGAAAAGTATTGCTAGTTCTCTCTCTTTCTTTCTCCTCGAGATCAGTAACCTCGGCGGAGTCACTCTTGTGCCATCTATCTAAGTCGTGCGTCGCTCTTCGCCCCAGAGTACGATAGGACCATGTCGCCTTCGAATCAGGTTCTAAAGGATGCGATTTACTTTTGCCAGCCGGAAGCTCTATCCGGTAGTCGGTTATTTTGCTGTCTAATCTGGCTTCCGCAGGGCTTATTGGTGCACCACCGGTCGAGTATATGCGCGATCGCATGTTAAGTGTACTACACAGCTGAAAATTTTTGGAGGAAATCCATTAACGGGGTGCATCACGATCTTTCCTTCCTTCCTTCACTCTCTTGTCTCCTCGCGGCCGCGAGAGTCCCTTCTTACTCCCTTCCGGTCTAGCAATCTCTGTCTTCTTTGCCCTGCCGCGTCCCATCTCTACCCCGGCGTCGCCTCCGACCTTTCTCTATCTGCATAGTCTCTATCGTCGTCCGTTTGTTTCGTGAGCCGCGCCGTTTCTATCTTCCATATCGCCAGGTGATGTTTGCGGCACGCCTTGTCGCCGCTCGGCGTTCACTCCTGTCCGCTTTCTCGGGCCGTCGAACATTTCCAAATGAATTCGAAGTTTTGTGCACGATGGCGAATCGTCTGCAATTTTCCCTGAATTCGGGAAATTACTCCACACAATCTTGGCGCTTTTTTTGCGACAAGAGTAACATCAGTGCATTCCTCGATCTTCTCATACCCTGAATGTTAAACGCGCAGTTTAGGCCCACGATAAACTCGCTATAGACAGAGTGTATGATTTGTAACAGACTGGCTTTTTACAGCAATTTCCCGTTGTGACCTCGCGACCAGGCGCTGCTGAAGCCTTTTTCCCAGGAGACCGGGTACCCTCTCTAAAGCCTACCTGAGCGAACAACTTTACCGTCCCAAACGCCTTCCTCTGACCCGCGCCCACCATAACGGACGACTCGTTGTCTGAACGGCTCGTAGCATTCATTTGCTGAGCAAATTTATTGAAGCGAAGGATGCTATCATGCATATATGGGTACACATATGCAGCCGTATCTTCGGTAGCGGTGATTGGCAAGATGCCTACGGAAACTCGTCCGAAATCGATTTACAAGTCACTGAGAACGGAGGCTTTTTCTTCGCCGGATTTTGACCGTTTCACTCCGTTCTTTCGCCATTTCCATACAGCGCCCTACTAGCATTTTAGGCTAAGTAGGAAACCATCGTGCCAACTGCCTTTAAGCCAGCAGCACATCTCGAAGATTGCTTTCAACGTTTTTTCAACGAAATTTGCATTCGCTGAGATTTTATAGTTGCTGATGACCCTCACAGTTGCAAAGTTCACTTCAGGCACGGTGAGCTTCGAAAGTAACGGAATTTTTTAGCCGAGTCATTTTCATTTTTCAAACAGCCGGATTACCGTTGAGCTCTTTGTCTTTCCTTTCATGCTATGGGCCTGAACTGAAGTGACTTCGGCCTTCTAATTTGTGAAGTAGACTGTGATGTGGCGGAGTTTCCGGTCAAGCCTCAAGCGGAAGTCACCAGCGGCTCGGAATCCTAAGGCCCGCGGACATTATTGCTCTAGTAATCATTGAGGTTCCCCACTCGGACAGAGTTATTACGAAAGGGACTCTGTCGAAATAGGGAACCTCAATGAACTTAGTGAGAGAAATAGGAAATCGCTCCTGGCAGCAATGAGACTATGATCACGTCTCCGAGTTACCAGTCTGCTCATTCATACGGTATCAGGGCATTTCCTGTCGTTGGGGAAAGATTTTGCGAAACGTGACCCCCCCTCCCTCCCTTTCCCCACCCTGCCTACCATTTTCCTGACCACTTCCTTGCTTTTTCAATCCTTTGTTTCAACAATCACTTAAACTTCCCTCCAGAAAGCTACCGAATGGGGTGTGGGGTACAGAGCGCTCTTAAAAGAGGGAAACGGAGAAAAGTCAACAACCGAAAACATTTTTTCTGAGGAGAATAGGATCCTCTTCCTCCCATGACCGCTCGCAACGGATCTCCAATGTTGAAGGTGCCCTGTTTGGTATACAGTCAATACACCTCCCATTGTCAGGGATTCGTGAAAGCCTTTGACTGCAGCTCTATGTTTCGGCCTTACTCAATTCATTGGGTAGCCTTAGACAGCGAAGGTCACGAGTCACAGCTGACACTCGGCAGCTGCATAACTCCGATAGAAAAAGATCTGAAATGAGCTTACAGCTAACAATTCGGGCATCTGAAGGCCTCGAAATGGTTGATATACTTCTTCCAAACTTTATCCCTGGCAGCTTTCCCTTTATCCATAATTAGGA